TTGCCCTGAAGCAATGACATAAGTGGCAGCCCAGGTGTTTGTATGGTAAGTGTAAAACGCCTCAAGCTGTTCCCACAGTGAGGCTGCATTAAACCCTGTAACCATGTTTACACACTCACAGTCACACTAACACACACTACCACACACTAACACACACCAGTGACCAAACAAGTCTTAATCCATACATGCAGCCTGGCGTCAGGCCTATAAATAACCCTGTGCTCCCACAGGTTCAGCTCCTCTCATTACTTTACAAGGGAAAACTGTTGTATCCAAGACAACCATGAGCAGCTCCTCGCTTTTTTCCCCCGGCGCTTTGCCATGGCAACAAGGGAAAATGCGTAAAATAATAATAAGTTGAAGCTAAAATTGGATCTATTAAAGGTTTGAGCTACAATTCAATACAGAGTTGCTTTTTATCTGAGGAAATGGCTTCCTATCCACGAAATAGTCACACAACACGTCAGGGAATCAGATTTAACAGCTGACAAACCAAAAGTAGAGTACTGCTGTTACAGCACATTTACAGAGGAGGTCTGCAAGGAAGCAATATTTTCAACTGTGAGTTCAAACCTGTTGTGTTTATACCAGAACTGTACAATTTGAGAGCTAAAGAAAATGTGCCAATTCAATAGCTTCCTTAGAAAGAGAGTTAATCCTGTCAGAGTTTACACTATTCTAACAAAAATATTGAAATGTCACTAAAGAGGCTTTGTGGAAACATAAGAGCTGTTTGAGTACCTCCTCTTAAATATGTTGTAGAAAGAACCACAATGTTTATGCTTCCTTCTAAACTCCCTCTCTAAAAGACAGTGCAAAGCAGTTCACTCCATCTCGCCTGCTGATGTGTACATCAACACACAAGTCGCTGCAAATGGCTCTACAGATCCAAACTACACACTGCTGTATGGTGAATGATGGCATACATTTAAAAGCAAGTTTAAAGCAGTCGGTGCAGCATGGTCGAGAGGTTTCAGAAATCAAGGTCTGCATTCACTCAGTATAGAAAAGTCTCTCTGATGTCAGTGCAGATTGAGCATAAAGTTACCAGGAAACCTTATTTTAATTAAAAATCAAACTACCAATCAATAAAAGCGTCAAAGCTCATGACCCACATGAACAACTCAGAGATCCTCAAACAGTAGTAGAGTCAAGTTGTTATCTCCTGTTTTTAATAATGTATCTTTTCTCTATTCAACTTGACTAAAGAATTGGCTATTTTCTTTCTCAAAGGAAGCACAATGATACAAGTTTGACCACTATCCCCAGATGAGAACAAAGACATCTAATGAAATCTGATTGTCTCAGTGATGCGAGTCGTCCTCCTCCCTCGGCTCTACACAGATTGTGTAATTTGTGTAATTGGAATTAAATGTCATGTACATACCACTGAGAGGGTAAGTACTCAGGCAAAGTGCGGAGGGCCACTCTGGGGAAGCATCTACAGTCACAAACCCTGCCTGGATTTCATTAAACGTCCTCTCTCCTATTTCGTTTCTTTTTTATTGAGGAAGTTTCCATGATGGACTAAACACAATGAATGTCACAGTTTCAATGTCACTAAATCTCTCTGGGGGGGGGTTACAGTCCAAATATTCCAGAGAAAATACCCTCTCTTATTATGTACAGAATATTTCAAGTAATATTTCAATGTAGGTGCTTTCAGATGAATAGCTAAATACATGACAAAGGTTATATCTGAATCACTATCTCGTACAGGACTATAAAGTGAGCTCAATGGCAAAATGAAATAAACATTCCGGATACTACTCAGGTTTTTTCCTGTGTCGGTAAGTATGTCATTGAAAAAAGTTGATTGGTACCATACACTGGATAAAGAGTTGGTGCACATTGTACTGAGCATATTTTCCCACGTGATTTAATCTAATGTCTGCTATAATTCCAGTTCTTTTTAATCAAGGCCTTTCCGTTTGCCGCTTCCTACAATTGAGTCAAAACTGAAGCTTGTTATTCAGACAAATTTGTTTTTAAATGATACAACCTTCTTGTCTCATTTGTCGGCCATGTTATTAATTTAGTACGAGCACAATGCAACCGGTTCTCTTTGTTTATTTTGGTCTTACAACCAGTAAAAGGAACGTCCTCTTCTGCTGGTTTTACTTCTTGTTTAATGCCATCTCAACTTCTTGCAGTTGGTCTGAAAGTGTGAAATATTCAGACACACAAAAATTCACACTGCAAACAAACTGAACCATTGATCAGTTTGATCTGGAGCGAGACCACTTCTTTAGTTTTTTCGTCCAATAACTTCGAAGGGCGAAATTCACCTGCATTCACATATGTGTGACCGTGCCCTCTGTGACAATATACATCTTACAATGCATTGTGGGATACAATGAGACCACTATAGAGGGTATAAAGATTTGCGCAGTGCTAAGAAATGGCAAAGTCGCTTGTGAGTGGTGAGATTTTACAGCCATGCTAGCAGTTCTGTTAAGTAGTAAAGTGGTACTTTGAGCTAAATGCTTATGTTAGCATGTAAACATGCTCAAAACGTCAGCATGATGATGCCTAGAGCCACGGGGCTGTATAATATCTGGTGTACCTTTAAAACACTCATGTGAACAGAAGAATGAAATACATTATGCAGTCATTACTTTAAGAAATCAGCCGCTGTATATGGAGATCGGTGCCCATGAGGGTGAGGTGGCAGGTGTGAGAGTAAATGAACCGCTCATTTTTATGAATGACACTACAGAGATTAGTGTTGAAAAGATGCTGAGGCTTCATGAGCCGCTGCTGATTTATCTCCCGATCGAATCGAGCACGGACGGGCTCAACTTCCACAGCCTTCCTCTCTAACAGCTACAGTGGATTAGGATTCCTGTCTGATGCAGTAATGAATCACTCAAGTCCGTCAAAGCAGTAAAACTGAGGCAGTGTCATGGTCAAGCACCAGAGGAGGTGTTCTTATGAAAGATGAAACCAGGATGTCCTGGTGAGGATCGGGGGTCACACGGGGACAGCTCTTTACATTTTTTCTGGATGAGTGACCACCGTAAAGAAGTGGTCTTCATTCACCACGCAGCTATTTTTATTTTATGCATTTCATCTTTCATACAAAATGTATTCAAATCTTCCTGTGGGAATCTGGAGTAAGGAGCACATTGTTCAAAGTCGAAGGAGCCTGACTTCGAGTAGAGTTCTTAAACCATCGCGAGGTGCGTTGACAAGGTTTCTGTTGAGGTATAACCTGACCTGCTGATCTCGTAGCCAATCCCCAAGGCTCTGTGAAGCAGGGAAATGTATGGTAAACCTCCCACCTCCAAAACAGAAACTGATACGAAGGTTTAGTTTCTTTAATCCCAATGAAAAGCCTTTGGAAATGAGACCTATAAATCCAGCTGAGGGATTTTCATTTTGTTCCAACTATAAATTCTGCTTCTTTAGGGGGAACAGTAATAAATACAATAAGAGGTTTAATTTCATATGATTGCAAAAAAATAACAATATCATTCAGTTCATTTGTATAACTTATTGTCACAGTCCTTAACAGAGTTTAGGAATCATTATTATTATTATTTGTAGCTACGCTTTTGTCGAGGGCACAAACCTAGAAAAAGGTTTTTATTTCAATGACATAAATCCCCAACCAAGTACACATTAAATCTCTATAGTCTGATGTTGAACATGTCTACTATCACTAAAAATACAGTAACTTCTCTCTCCCTGGCAGAGGTCATTTAAATCCTTTCTCCACTGTGATTAAACTTCCTCACAGTGAGACAGTTAGACACAAGACACAAAATCACCACGGACATCTGAGCATAGATGGACTGTATTTGTTTATATAGAGCTTTTCCAGTCTAATCGACCTCTCAGAGCTCTTTACAGTCACATTCACACACTGCTTCTATATGCAGCACTTTTTCTATCACATTCATTCATGTACTGTCAGCGCAGCCGTCACTAACTTTCCCAAAGACACAGAATCCAGTGGAACTGGCAGAGCCAGGCATCGAGCCACCAACCCTCTGGTGAGTGGATGACCCGCTCTACCTCCTAGTACACAGCGACAACTGAGCAGCACCAGCATTGTTTACGTGAGTGAGTGCAACTTTAAGAATAAAAGAAATTATAATCAGATATTACTTTGTCCAAACAATTAGAAGGACATACACAAGCATACTCACATGTAGATACACACACACATCTCACTCTGTCCTTGTGTTGGTCCACATGTGTGTTCTCTGACATAGTGAGCATGCGCAGTGAACAGACGTCCATCCTTGGACACCATCACTTTCCTCTGATGACATGTTTATTCTCCTCACACAGAGATCACAGTGAGTGGGTCACACATGGTGGCTGTGCTCACCTGAGGCCTCAGGACACACACACACACACACACACACACACACACACACACACACACACACACACACACACATAGGCTCGTTACCTCGCTCTCCTCGATAGCCTCAATAGAAATGGAGTGAGGTGGAGTGAACCGTCGTGTATGAGTCTCCCTCAGGAGACACGGAATAACTGAGTGTGGCCACCTGACGAGTGCGGACCTCAGGGAAAACACCTCGGGAGCATGAACGCGTGAGAAATAAAATGAAGGTGGAGGCGCTCACCTGTTCTGTCGTGTCCGAGTGACGTGGATCCTCCAGCGGTGGTGTTCGATGCTCGGCAGGTCTGCGTGTGTTTGTGTGTCACTCCCACACACACGCTGCTATCTTTAACCTAGAACGGCTCGCGTGCGCTCACAATTAGCTCCATTGATTCTCGGCTAATTGTCTGATCCGCTGCTGCCCCTGGACGACGGCCGGCGACAGGAGGAAACACGTCCGCCGCTGTGAGAAGTTCGAGTCCGTCTCCTGTCGTCAGCGTGTGAGCCCACACAGCAGCAGCGGTCACATCGAGCCAACGTGCAGGTGCACACGGACACTTCCTGGTGGTGTAGCGACACCCAGCGGCAGCGAGAGCGAGTGCAAGCTCGTGAAGGCGGAATAAAGGAAGAGGAGCACGTGTGTGTATGTTCAATACTTTTATTCCATTCAGGCTTTATTGTAAAGTCATTGATTTTCATACAAATTATTTACATTTTTTGGTCAACAGACAAATAGACGTATATGAAGGGAGGCAGGGGGACACGCATGCACGGTAAGTAATTTTGAAAATGCAGAGTCACAAAGTCCAGTGCACGTTTGTCTCTTGAGTCCCAGTGTTGTTGTTTTTCTTGGATTGTTGAGGAATCGAACCGTTGGAGTCTTTCACCACTGATCGCTGTAGTCCGAGCTGCAAAGAGAGGAGATGTTGTCATGCTGCGTCGTCATTATGGGCAATAATCTGCTGTGCAGCCACAGTGAGAAGAGATGCCAACCAACACTCACTTAAAGAACAATGAACTTCTTCATATTCATACTCTTGCACTTACACCTTTAGACCAATATACACATTCAGCCCTGTATATGCCACAAGTAAGTTTAAATAGTGGAGGAGGCTGATTTAGCCAAATCAGTTTTATGGTATATGTATTATCCTAAATTCAAACTGTTTGCTCATGGGAGATGAAGTATTGGTTGATTTTATATAGGTCTCATCTCATTAAGTTGCACCTTCCTCTTTATTCAATAATGACAAACTGATGACTGTGACATTTCAAATCATAACGTAGGACACAGCTAATTAGATTCTTACCCTGGTAATGGGCCTTTTCTTGAATACTGGATAATTGCCAGTGATGCAGATGCATATATGATGTATATGTATTGCTTTTCTTAATTTCTTTATAAAGACATATACATATATATAACCCACATTAAATCTCTCTATGAATTTTAATGTTTCACCCTGTGATTTTTATTGCACTGGCTTTTCGAGCTTTAACAGATTTTCTTTCATTTCAGCCTCAAAATCCCATCAGTTGTCAGCTTCAGCATAAAATCTGCATCGAGAAATCAGGATCCAAAAAAATTACCCATAGTGATTCACCAGAGATTTACTCTGATCTGCTTCTCTCACCTTGGTTCAGTGTCTTGGCTTGAATCGCCTCCAAACAGCAGCCATGTCACCTTCTGCTCGGGGGTTGACCTCTTCCCATACCTGCAGAAAAAACCCACAAACACCAGCATGTAATGACCACAGTGCAACACTAATTGGAGACTCTCTCACGTGAAACCCCCCTCTGTGGCCTCAGCAGTCACTCAGTAAGCATTTCCCTGGCTGCTCTGGCGTGACCCCACCTGCCTATGTTATGAATTTCAACCACTAGATTTTTTTTTTTTTTTTTTAAACTCGTCCAGCTGTGAAGAAGACAACTTAGCTGCATGCACCCTGTCGAGGTTTTTTTTCTTTATCAGCACTCCCTCTCTGCAGCACAATCCAAAAGTCAACCGTGCAATTATCTGAGACTTCTCGAGTTCACTGCACAGTGTCCAGCGAGGCAAACAACAAAACAAGCTCCTACTTCAATGCAAAATCAATGCCTGGTCACTGAGTCAACCTTCTTTTGTCTGAGCGGTGAGGGGCTGCACCATGTGGCACGCAGTCTAATGACAAATCAAGCCTGTTTAATTACAGAGCAGGAGGGTTAATGATGGGTTAACTGTGATCACCTTCCATCACTGCAGGAAAACTGTAGTTTCTCCAGTGGAAACAACCGAAGTCAAAAGACCCGGTGCCACACAGAGGGGATCGTGTATATAGCCATAAATCACATAAAGATAAAACATCAATATCAGTCAGTATTGATAATTATCACAATAAATATATTTTTTTAACTCTTCATTATCAGAGAAAGCAGCAAAACATCTTACAAATCTGAGGTAGATCAATTATGTGTTATAACTCCTCACAGTGCAGCACAATATGCAATAAATTGCCCGGTCCAAATTGGAAACTAGCTTTTTCATACACCTTGTCAAAACTGTAAAACTAAAACCATATTTTAGGCACGACAAATAAGAAAACAACCTTTGAGATTTAATTACAAGTTTACATGTCAAAGGTCATGAGATGTTGAAAACCTACAACCATGGAGGCTGTGTATGAATGGTCCAGTCTTGATTCAGCTGCTAACAAAGAGAATCAAATGATTTCCTGTGACTCTCTACAGGATCTTACTTCCTGTGGTCTGCACTTTACATCAGAGGAAAACCAGCCTCCTGTCCTCTGCCTCATCATTTCTCCTGACAACAGCAAAGCCTTATAACCAAGAGTGATCATTATTGGCTCTGTGAAAGGACGAACTCTGGACCATTAAAGGTGAAGTCTTAGGGTGAAGAACCAATTCACCAATTCAAAAAGCACTACATCTTCTCCATCATTTAATAGTCTCTCACTGAGTTCTTCAGGGGATTCAGTTCATGATGCTCACGAAGCTGCTGTGCCTTTAATATCAAATCATCTCTGAACCCAGACACTGAACTTGTACCTCACTGGACACATTGAGAAATATGAGACGTGAGATGCAGTTTGTTGAGTCTGACTCACCTCTGCCTGGTGATGAGGTTCACGTAATGCCTGACAGCTGCGTGGTACTTGGCCCACTCCGCCGGTGAGCCGTTGCTCCCCGGACTCTCCGGTTTGGGAGGGTAGGCGTCCGCAAAGCTGCTCCAACACACCAGCAGGCACAGGACGAGCGCTGCGAGCATCATCCACGATCTCAACATGCTGGCCATCTGAGGAGAAAGAGAAACACCAGGACATGACTTCACTTTTAAAGAAACACTCAAAACAAAGAAAAAAACCTTGAGTAAACTTTAGCTACAGAAAACATGAATTTATGTGAGGATTCCGTTCCATTTTACGCAAATACCTTCGTGCGTAAAAGTGTTCCAAATATTATAAAAACACACTAGCCGACTTGAATTTCATCAAATGAACTCTTCAAATGATGCGGTTAAATATTCAACACGCAGCAAAGTAATATTAAAGTGAGCAGACTCACTTTTTGACAGTTTGACAGTTGTCTCTCGGTGCGGTTCTCTTCGCTGGTCCCCTGTCGTGTCGCTCTCCTCTCGGCTCTCCGGGTTTTATACGGTGTGGGACGGATACCTGATGCGCACTGAGCCACACGTGACCACACCACTCGGTCTTTCCTCCATCTACCATCGATCAATGGGTCAGTTATCTGTGAGAGAAGCTGGAGGACGAGCGGACAGCTGAACTTCTCTCTCTGGCTTAGTGGAGGTTCATTTTTCCACAAATAATATAAGGTACTTCAGTTTCATGTTTTAAATGTGTGCTTCCTGGCTTCTGTTGTAGACTGATGCTGTTTTAAAAGATGACTTTGCACATGATGGTGAAAGGAACAAATGGGTGAGAAAGGTTTTATCTTCTTGCAGCACCACCAACAGCTCCAGGGCGCAGCCATAGTCCCAGTGTTATAGTCTCAGACCAGTAAGCTTCATGTCTACACTTGGAAATCCAACCTGCGCTTATCCACATTAAAGTTATTCCTTCCAGTAAACGGGGCTTATTGAGCTGCACCCTGGCTCAGACTACAGCTCAGAAAGCACAACACACCAGCTACACACACGTTGACTTAATAAGCCAGCACAGAAACCATAGTGCATCCGCAATTGGAGAGCAATCTGAAAACACATTACATCAGGTATCACAGTCAGAAGCTGGAGACTCTCATCACTTCTTCAGGATTGCTGGGGTTTTGTTTTAAGCGATCCACTGAGTCAAACAAGATTTCTGCACAAATATTCTTGTCGTGGGTTTTCTGTTTTATAAGAGTTAAAGTCTGGACTGTGCTTCAGAAGCAGCTGCTGTTTGATTTAAAATGTTCTGGCCTGAGAATACCAGCAACACAGTTTCCACAGTAAAAGTAATGAAGAGATTAATAACGTTAAAACTTGCACACAAATGACCTGAGCTCAAGAGATTTTTACCAGAGCTTTAAATTGAAAATCAGTCTGTAAAGTATTCCATGCATCAGGTGCCGTGAACGTAAAAGCTTTCTTACCTAAATCAGTCAGAACTTTGGAAACAACATTGCAAAATGTCCATTAAAGTAATATTATGACTTCCATACTTCCAGTTAATAGAAGAGAGAATGAATTCTGCCCTGAGTGATTTTGTGTATGAGAACACACCAGTGACTGAGGCAACGCACACATGATGGAATCCAATTTGCTTTTGAGTAAAGTTCACAATGGTGAGTAAGAGACAGATTGTCAGCTCCCTGTGATAAACACCATCCAGCATGTGAAGACAATGAGCTCAGGGAAACATGTTCAGTTTAGTTTAATCTGTTTCACACAACATTAAAAAAATCTAACATAAACAATTAAAAACATAAATTCAATGTTAAAAATAGTTTTAGAAACCAGTGTTGGCTTTTATGAAAACCACAAATATAATTAAATTCAAGGTATATATGAGTATAACAGAGAAAAATACAGGGAGGGAAGAATATGTGGTACAAATACAGAATGAATAACTGAATCCAATTTTTATTCCACAAGATAACTCCATTATATTAAATAGAAAACTGACCACAGGACGTTTTATACAAAGGAGGGTAAAAACTAGACAAGATTTTTTTTTTTTTCTCAATTAATTTGTTGTGGAGAATTTCTCCCGGTTGTAATCAGACTCCTCCAGTAGTTTTATTGACTGTGGTGTTAATTGCACATTGGTGGGTAATGAACAAACACATTAACCCTAGATACAAAGGATGCACTATGGGAAATACCTGCTCCCGTCTGATCATTATCCCCGGACACCTTTAGCCTCCTATGTGCTCATCAATCCTGCATGCATTATTCAGATGAGGATGATGATGAAGGCGGTCATATGGCCTGGAGGTAGAGGTCACAGATCACTCTCATTCACGTGTGATATGAAATAACAGCAGCAGCGTCAGGGAAAGTCATTTCAGTAATTCTCCTATGATTGAATTGAATGATTCCCTGTGGTGGATCAAGTATCACTTTTATTAACCCCTCACATGATGCCTCTTCAAAGTTCATGTCACCGCAGAGACTCTGAGGAAGAGCACAATGACGCTCGTATGACACAGACACTGTGTCCACAAATACCTTTCAGGTCTCGAGTGCCGGGGCCAATGTGATCGCCCACGTTTATGACCGGTGCAGCGGCTCCTGTTTATCTCGGATCTTCACGGTCTACTGTTCAGTTCACGGTGCCTGAAGTCGTCCCTTATCCCACAGTGCAGGTGCAGTCGTTTGTTTGAGGCTGTGTGCACACGTCAAGGGGTTTGATGTCTGTTTGCACACAGGACTGAGATGTGCAGTTGACTTTGTGTCATCTGCAAAACTGTAGTCTATTCTTTTACATTTCATTTTTGAATAGGGAGAAGTAGAATTTGTTCCTTCCTCATCATCCTGAGGAGTTCAGGGCTAGTATGACTGTTTTTGAATGAATCACTTGTACCAAAAATGTACCCTGCCAATGTTTAGTTTCTTATTTTTGCTTTGTATGAACAGACAATTTATTTTCCACTTTTTACAATATATTCTACCTGAAAAAATAAATTTTGGAGGCATGTTCTCATAGTATTCATTGTGTGTGTGTGTGTGTCTTTAATCGCGAACTAAGGGGATCTTATACTGTTTGAGTCACACCCTGCATATATGTGAGAATGAGGCCCTATTAATCTACATGCAGATGTATCCTGCAGCTAATAAAACTGCAGCAAAGAACATGGTGAACATATTGTTCTATTTTAGATTTTATAAGCATAGAATATACACATCCATCCCCTGTCCGTGTAGTTACACAGTATTTATGATTTATTTCATTGCTCTACTAGTATTTCCAGAATGTTGTATATTCTCCTAATTTCTCTTTACATGCTATTGTACTGAACGGCCCAGACCATCCACCTCAATAATTTACAAATGTATGTACCATTCTTTGACTAATTTGTTCTTGTTGTCCTCGTCCCCTGCAGCAATGTGACACCAGAGTCAAATACCTTGTCTTTTTAAAAATATTGAACCAATGAAGTCAATTCTGAAAAGCTAAGGTGACTGACAGCAGAAACATCAGGAAATACATTGTAACACTCAGTGTGCTCATATTTATTCATTTAGTAAATTTAATTTTATTTGTGGGTATTTTAGCTTTTAGTGATGGAAGACACATGACAGAGATATGTGACAAAGATCTCTAATCAACTGAGGATGTAGCCGTCCCAGCACTCTGTGGAATATGCATCTATAGCCACTGGGCTGCAGGGACACATCAAGGGCTCATACTCAAGAGAATGGATTATTATCTAGAAGGCAGAGGAAACACAAAGGAAGACTTAATAATTCTATTTTCAGGCTCATGCATGAATCAAAGAAAATGATCATGTTGTCATATACAACATAACATGTGCATGTCGCCCTGCTGGGCTCCCTGACGACGCCATGAAAGCTCCTCTCGTGTGCTGTTTATAGAGTCATAAAAACAGTGAGGTTTTCTTTTGTCTGTCCCTTAATCCTTGTCAAAAACTTGATTTGGACATAAATCCCAATGGACGCCGGCAGGAGAGCTGCCAATAAACACGCAGTTAACGTGTATATGACCGCATCATAAAGCCTGTGAGTGGATTGTGGTATTACACCTAAATTGCATTGTCCGTTTCTCAGCAATTATTGTACCATAATTCAAAGTGATATCGAGGGACAGTTAGCGAGCACGGCCCCAAAACAACAAACTGACGAGTTTAAAAGGATTGAATAAAGAACACATCATCTCGTCTGTGTTGTAATCACTCTTTTTTCCCATAGCTATCCTGAACATTTAGTTTATTCTACCCCAGTATTCAACCGCTCTGCGTTCACTCGACTGGCCATAAAAGTCAATGACAAGAAACAACAACATGCACAAGACAAACTCATTAACTTGCTCCAGTGTTTGCAGGTAAACACTAAGAAAGTAACAGCCCCTCAGATAAAGGGAAGAGCAGACAGTTCAAGCTTTCACGGTCCAATAAACCCAAGCTAATGCTCTCCACAAGAGCTGTGTGGGCTCCTACAGAGGGGGAAAGTACTTTTTCAAAAACCTTTTTTTCCCTCTCATCTTATTCAGTTTTAACAACTTTTCCAACTCATGCCGGTGCTGCTGATGTCTGCGAATTTGTTAGGAGAGACACATTACAAGATTTTACACTGCGAGCGATAAGTTGAACACATCCCCAGGAGGAGGTGTACTTACAGAACTCATCTACCTGTGGCCCTAAAAGCTTTTCTCCTGAACCTCTGCTTCCACCTTTTATAGTAAAACCACCTCTGTTTTCCATTTGCATCACACACACTGCCGAGTCCAAATATGAAAAGAAGATCACACACACACACACACACACATGTTTGCACAGAAGTCCATTCTGGTGTAAGAGCAATCTCCCAGGAGAGGGTCTGACTCCTTCCTGTCACTGCAGACAGAAAGGGGGAAATGAGTATAGTTTTTATTAAGCCTTATCTCCAGAGTGGGGGAGCCACTAATATGAACAGAGTGCTTTTCAGTGCAGCCGGGTCTGTTTGCACAGCTCAGGGGACCAAATGGGGGGTTGATGGCCGCCCACCTCCACAGCGCGATGAACCACGAGCATAATTGGCTCTAAAAGGAGCCACGAAGTGTCAGTCAGAATCTCGACACATGATTAGAGACTAAAATAATAACGTCTTTCTTTTTGATTTAATGTTAGGACTTTTTATTTTTCACACACTGAAGTAACCTCGATGTCTGTGTTGTGATTTTGGTTGAAGAAGAGGCTGGACCATGATGGTCTTTTGAGGAGATCTCAGTTTATAAACACACACTTATGAGGGTGGGGGGGGTAAAGGGGACCTTACCAAACGTTCCACATTGACAATGCAGGCCTATCATCTGTGTCCAAAGGTTTTGCATAATAATAACAACAACTGCAGAGCTTGTTCTAACTTTTATTTATTTATTTTATGTTCATCATTCCAGGTTTATCTGCAACTGAAGATTTTATAGTTTTTTTTATAGTTTAAGTGAATTCGTTATCTGTTCACGTGTGAGATTTCTTCTTTTTCGTACAT